AATAATAATATTATTATTATTAATAATAATAACAATAATAATGATAATAATGAAAAAACTACAATAAAGAAAACGACAAAATGAATTTGATTAGTTTGCTGGTATTAATAAATGATGATGTAAATATAATTAGAATAGTTATCATAATTATCTTCTTACTGAAAACAATAGTGAATGATGAGAGGAAAAAAGAAAAAGAAATGACAAAAATTAGTTGATTTTCTCGATTACGAAATACATATTAATATGAAATCTTGCAAATTGGAAATTATATCATTAATCAATAATATCAGGGAAATAAAATTATTGAAGTACATAGATTTATCAATCATTAAATCTATCTCTTTTAATTATAATTAAGATTTAATGTGATCTCATTTCTGTTATTTTATTTTTTATTACAACAAAAAAAAGAATGAAATTCAGAAATAACAAAAATTTTAATTATAAATCAAACTAATAGAGATCATTCAGTAATTTGTCACAATTTGATGACAAGAATATGTAAAAAGTTGCGAATCAAAAATGGAATATTGGAAACATTCGGAAGATGTGATACATGAAAAATGGAATACCGGAAATATTTAACCGATTATTATTAACTTAAAAATAACTCATGAGCAAAACTTTTTTCGGATTTGTTATTTAAATATTTTTAATAGTTTTAACTTAATTAATCGAATTATTGTTAATGGGTTGAATAAAAAAAGGGATAATTATTTTTATTTTTTTTAAAATTATTCGAATAAAAATCCTTCAGTTTTAAATTAGCTATGAATTAAATTTAAACTTAAATTAATGTACTCGTTGAATTCTTCAAAAATTAATTTTTACCATATTTAAAGCTTTTTAATTTGATAGCAAACTAGATGGTATCTGATTTTAAATATCACATCAAATAATTTTCAGTTTGATATTAGACTAAAAGATTTCAAATTTAATATAAGGCTGAAAGATATCTGATATGATATTAGATTGCATGGTTCTCTATTTGAAAAGTAATACTTTAAATACTAAACTTAATGAATTTGATTAAATTTATTTGTTCAAAATTTGATAATATTAGAATAAAAAAACATTATCATATCATTTGCTATTTGAAAAATTGTTGTTCCAAATATTTCTTTTTAAACTATAAAATAAAAATTAGTTTGCAACAAAATTTTAATTAAAAATTAAGAATTTCATTCATCTCATATTTTCAACATGAAAAATGTTCAAATAAATGAAAAAAGATGAAAACGAATAAAATTGTTAAATTACAGCAAAATTTTGCTGTTTCTTTTTCTTATCTATTTCACTCGCTGAAAATGAGCCATAAGCCATGAGCCATGAGCCATGAGCCATGAGCCATGAATCAATACTGAATGATGAAAATTGACTCACCATAAATTTCCACATCCCCCCCCAAAAAAAAACAAAACAAAAAAAACGGAGAAATTATATTTCAATCGGTTTAAAATTTCCCTAAAAAAAAGCATAGAATCATTTTATATATCATTAATATTTACAGAAAGCTAAAATGAATAAATCAAATGAGCCGAAAAATTGAAACGGTTGAATTAAAATTTTCCAATCAAAAATAAAGTATTCCCTTTTTTTTCTTTTTTGCTCCATACTAATATTTGAATTAGGAACTGGTTTTTGAATGGTAGAAAATTGATTTACCAATAAAATTTAATACTCAAAAAAAAAAGAAAAAATTGAAAACATAATTTGAATCCAAATAATTTCTCCCAAAACTTGCATGAATAACATTGTGAATTCCTAATGTTATCAGAAAAATTGAAATGGTAATTTCGATTTTCAAATATTTTCCTATGTTCGTTTTTTATTGAAAAAATTTTTAATTTTAAAAAGAGTTTTTCATTTCGAAGAATATATCTGACATAAAAAATGGGCAAATTTGATTTTTACCTTTCAATTACTTAATTTTATTATTATTATTATCAACTATAAAATTTGATATCAATTTAATATTGTCATTTGGAAAAAGAATTACGAATTTGATACTTAATTTGATATTATTATTTTAAAAAATGTGCAAAATTGATATCGATTTGGTATTAATTTGATATTATCATTTTTAAAAAATTATAAATTTGATATTATTGTTTTAAAAAAATGCACAAAACTGATATCAATTTGATATTTGATATTATTTTTAAAAAACTGTAAATTTGATTTTAGTTTGATACTTTTATTATTTTAAAAAATGCGTAAAATCGATGTGAATTTGGCATTAATTTGGTATTATTATTTCAAAAAATGTGCAAAATTCATATTAATTTGGTATTATTTTTATGAAAAAATTTCAAAATTTAATTTTACTACAATATAAAAACGGAAAAAAAAGTGTCGCTTAAAAATAATTTCTTCTTTACAGTTTATTGTCATTTTTCTAAATTTAACAATTTCCAATTAAATTAATTACTATTAAGCATTTCCTAAATCATAAATATTCATCTTATAAAATCAAAATGAATAATATTTTGAGTTGATTTATTTTTTATTTGTTATATAAAATTAAAAAACAAATAAATAAATAAATAATTTTTATGTGTTTGTTCTCATTCATTTAAAAAAAAAAAAGGACTAAAAAAAGATGCAGCAAATTAATCAACATGAAAATTAGCGCATGAAATAAAATGAAACTCTTGGTATGTTTAAAATTAAGACTAATGACCTCTCGAATGGCGGGGGAATGGGGAAGGAGAGAGATAAGAAAAGGTTAAAAGTTGTTATCAATCATCTGAATTTCTATCTGATAAAATTGTTCTCAATGACAATTTACTAAATTACATATTATCATAACATATATCAATTTCATTTGCAATTTTCGCTTCTTTTATTTTGTTCCATTTCGTTATAATTATGCAAATGTATGAAACAAAAAATGACTATTCGTAATATTTAAAAATAAAATGAAAAAAAAAGAAGTCACTGATAAAGTTCTGATAATAGTAAATAATTGTTGTTACGATTGTTTGATTATAGGAATAAGTAAATTTGAATGATTATTGATTTTAAATCCTTTTTTTTTCCTTGTTTCTTTTCTAATTTAAATCAAGTTTAAGTCTGATCAAATGTTTTGGCTTTTTTTAGCAAAAAAAAAAATAATATTTAAGTATTATGCATTGAAATTACATTAACAATTTGAATACTTTTAAAGTTTTGAAAGTTTGGAATAATTAATCTATCGATATTAATCAATTAAGTTATTAATGAAATTGACTAATTAAGTATAATTAGTACGATTATTAACATTGTTTCGTGTGTTAAGTTAGTAATTTTAATTTATAATCAATATAGGAAATACAATTTATTAATTGCATTATCAATAAATTTATTTGCAAACGAAGTCACATATCACAACATCCCTAATGCAAATTAAGGCTATCAATAATGTTCCAAACAATTAATCCTACCGATATTAATTAACGATGTTATTCGTGAAATTAATTACTATTTAAGTTACAATCGATCACTATTTAAGTTATCACTATTTATATTTAAGTTAATTGTCATTTACTAATTATAAACTATCAATTAAGCTAATTACAAATTAAATCATAAATCATGACAACCGTAATGTAATTAATAAACCAAACATACAAGAATAATAACATTAATATTAATTTAAAAAAAAATCTTTGATAAATTTACTCTTTTAAATTCATTTTACAATTTAACGCTTTAAATTAAAGATAGTCTACTGTTTATTTTTACAATACTTTCATTTCAACTTGGTCTAACAGTAGATTAAGTAATCCGAGATTAAAAAAAAAAAACCACAGATAAAATGTCACCTCCCAGGTAAATTACCTGGGAAAAAAAACGAAAAAAAGTTTGGTTAAAGTGACAATCTCCAATGAAATATAAGAAATGCAGGTAAAACGAAAAGGAAACTTACCAATGTATAAAATGCAATAAGAATGGTAGCCAATGATAAACCACAACAAAAACAGTTCCTGATTTGTACCTCAATCTTCGCCATCCAAATTTTATTTCTAATCAAATTTCACTAATTAAATTTTGCAAAATTAAATTTGTCAAATTAGTTAATTTAACACGATAAGTCTTTTTTTAATAAAAAGAGTGAAATTCGTTTTTTTTTTCCATTTCATCTTTTTATCCTTTCTTTTTTCATTTTTTTTTCTTTTCCTTTCTCCCACTCTCTTTCTCTTTTTTTTTCTTTTTTTTTTTGGTAGAAAAAAATCAGCAAAATACTAAAATGAAAGCATTTGTTAAATTTCCATTTCAACTGAAAAGATTATACGATAAAATAAACTATCAAAATGAAAAGATGGAAGACGATGATGATAATCATAATAATAATAATGATGATGACAATAATAAAGATAATGACCAGTCCTCATTGTGCCAAGAATTTCATGGAGTAAAAGGAAGGTGAACAAGAAGGGAGAGGAGGAGAAGGAGGAGGAGGAGGAGGAGGAGGAGGAGGAGGAGGAGAAGGAGGAGGAGGAAGAGGAAGAGGACGAGAAGGGGGAAGAGAAGGAGAAAGAAGAGGTGATGGAGAAGTGGAATAAATGCGGACAGATCAAAAAACCGGTAAATTGTGGACTGACTGATACGATGACAACAGCAATATGAATAAATGCATCGATACTGTTTCCGTTGTTCAAACGACAATTTTGACATTATCAGTACAGCTCGACAACCACGTCAACGACAACAACGATACAACGAGACAAACGTAACCCAAAACTTGTCATCGTTACTACTTGCCGTCACCACTATCGATGAGTCAATAAATTTTCAAGGACACACACACACACACACGCACACCCACGCACACACACACCCACATACTGACACACAGACATAGATGTATATTTTAGCACTTACCACAATTTATGATCAACAAAAGTAAAGTTGTAGAAAGATATTAAAAAAGTCAAACATCGGCATGTCAACTCAAAACTAACGTATAAACGTAAAGAGTGAAAATGTATAAACGTGAAAACGTGAAAACGTGTATAGGATAGATATCGGTGATCCATATTGATACATACTATTGCAACAGCAAGGTTATATGAATGACACACAGAAATAGAACATGATATCGGACAATAGTGATACTGTATCATGAGTATATATTTTATGATATCTTAAACTAAGGTGACACATAGTGATACTGTATCATGAGATATATTTTATGATATCTTAAATTATGATGATACATTTGACGTAAGGAATTGGGAAGCAACAGAAAAAGTGATAATGCCGTTGTTGATTCAATTTAAACTAAAATATTAGCAATGAAATTTAAACTAATTGTTAAATTAATTTGATCATAACATTTGCTAATTGATTAAGTAAACGGTTTAAAGATTCAAAATAATTTCAAAAAATTTCCAAATATTTGATTTAATCTGTTGAATGAAATTTCATTGAAAATTTATCAATAAAATTATTTGACATTGTTATTGCTGTTTTGTTTATATTATTAGAGCTTTACTTTTATGCATTTATTTATCTATTTAATAATTTCCTAAATTAATTTCATTTAAAAATTGGAGAAATAAAAGTATTTCAAATATTTTTATTATAATTTTAATTTAAAAAACACTCAAAATATTTTTTATCATAATTTTAATTTACATTTAATTGAAAATGTAACATTTACAAGTGCTAAATTGCGCATTTCCTTCATTCTTTTTTTCTTTTTTTTTTTGCAACAAAATATTCTGCTCTATTTTGATTTATTACTCTTTTTTTTTATTTTACATTTAAATCATTCCAATTTTTCTTCTCCCCCAATTCTTCGTTAATTTTTTAATTATTTTCAACTTTATCATACATCCATATAATAAAAGTATGTATTTGACTTGATTAACTTAATCACAACACTTTTGATTAATACTTGTTTATTTATTTACTTATTCATTCATTCATATTTTATTTGCTTGTTTATTTATATTTGTTTATTTGTTTGTTTATTTATTTGTTTACTTACTTATTTACTCACTTTTAATTCATCTTTTTCCTCACATTATTTGATATTTCCAATTATTTCTAGAGTTTTTTGTTTTTTATCATACTATTTCATTATTAATGAATAACACTCACTAAGAGTTATTTCTTATCAAGGAATGTTAAAAAAAAAAAGGAAAAAGTGAACAGGAAATGAGAAGAAAATGGAAAATTCCATGAAATTTGAAAAAAAAAAAGTTTTTCTTCACCTTCGATATTTCTAATATATTGTTTCACATCTCATTTCACGTATTTTCACGGAACATTCTGGTAACATTCGTTAAGAGTGTACGATAATTAGCAGCAAATATAATTTGAATTAAATAATAAATAGAGTAAAGTAATGGTAAACAAATGGATGCAAAATGTAAAGTAAACAAATGAATGTGTAATAGCTTAAAATAGATGTAATTTATTTTGCAAAACAATTTTTAATATATTTGAAAATTATAACGAAATTAAAATTATCATTACGAAAAAATTGTATTGTAGTATATTATAGTACCAACATTCATGTGTTTACTGTAATACTGTAACGTTAACATTACGGTGCCGTAATGTTACTATTATGATGCTGTGGCGTTTTTATTACGATAGTACTTCTGTAAAAATTTGTTTTTTTATTGATTTATAGTTTTTATAATTTTTACATTTCTTGCTACAATATTAATTTTTATCTGATAGTAATTTTTTTTTACTAAAATGTTAATCTTTATGTTATTAACACATTATATTAGCATTGTACTGTACTCATTATAGTTACGATACCGATTAATACCTAGCTTACTACTACGATATTAACGTTTACTCATTATAGTTACGATACTGATTAATACCTAGCTTACTACTACGATATTAACGTTTACTCTATTATAGTTACGGATACTGATTAATACCTAGCTTACT